CAGTGAGAGGGACAGAGAGAGGGAGGGACAGACCCTACAGTGAGAGGGACAGAGAGAGGGAGGGACAGACCCTACAGTGAGAGGGACAGAGAGAGTGGGCAGCCTGTATACTCTCAGGTGACATCCTGCCTTCCTGCCAGACCGGAGGTCCCCCACCGGCCGTGGCCCTCCTCCCAGAGGCCCCTCCACCCCTGCTCACCTCCAGCCACCCTTCTGAGGGGCGCGGGCGGCGGGAGGGGTGTTGCTCCCCAGTGGTGCTGAGTGGCCTCCTGCTGGGCTCTGCTTGCCCCTTGCTCATGAGGACCCCCCAGGCCCTCTCCCCAGCTTTGAGGAAAGTTTTTCCACGTTCTGGGGACTGTGGGCCCTCAGTTGGATGTCTGGGGGCTGGGGTCAAATACACATGCACCTAGGCCCATTTCTCTAGAGACTCCAGCACCCTGGCTAAGGCACACTGAGCGAGGAGGGGAGCTGGGGGCTCCCTGTGCCCAACCCCCAGGCCCAGGAGAGGTTGGCTCAGCCGGCCAGCCTGCCCATCCACAGCCCGGTCCGAGTCTGGGTTGGTTGGCTTTGTCCACTTCCACGGATGCTGCTCCTCTCTGCACGTGAGCCAAAGTGTTTGTCAAGAGAACGTTAATTAAAAACACGTTTTCCTAATTAAATGGCAGGCTGGGCCGCGCAAACAGTACGGTTCTTGTTTGAAAGCAAATCCCTCTGTGTTGCCAGGCGACCCCGGGGACTCGGGAGAACAACAATGCCAAGGCCCAGTACACGCACCACCAGCCCCTGGGAGGCCCACCCGCAGCCCGCCGGCCAACCCGGCACCACCCCTGCCTGCCCACCCCCACCAGGAGAGGCCAACCCTGGGTGGGAGCCAGGCCCCTGGCCTCAATGGCCGGTGGCCGGGAGAGACTGGTGCAGCCTCAGAGGCTGGCTGCTGGCGCCCACTCCCTCCCCGCACCCAACATGCCCCGTGGGGTGCCGGCTGCATACCGGCCCTCCTACTCCAGGGGCTCGCTAAGCACCAGCTCTTCCTTCCCCACCCCCCTCCCCATCTGGAGGCAAAATCCCAGGCCCGCTCAGAGCAAGGCTCCGAGCCCTCGTTGGATTTGGGTTGCCGGGGATGGCTGGGCAGGTTTGCAGCTGGTCTCGTTGTGGTTGCTGTTGTTGCGGCTGTTAGGTGCCGTTCTGTCGGCTCACAGCAGCCCGTGCACAACAGAAGGAAGCCCACCCCACCCTCCACCAGCCGTTGCTACATCTGAGCTGGTGAACCAGAGAAAGGCCTTCGACGAGACGGACAGACACCGTGGGGGCACTGATGGGCTCAGGCACAGGAACAATTGTGAGGGCAGTGCAGGACGGGTGGTGACCCCCAGGGCTGACATGTTTGAGCCCCCTGCTGCCAGCATGGTGTCAGTCCATCTCCTTGAGGGACTTCCTCTTCTCCGAGGACCCCGTACTTTACCCAAGGAGCTGCAACGGCACTGTGGGCCAAGCACACACTGCGAGGCCGCCAGTTCAAACCCAGGTCTCTGCGAGTCAGGTCTCAGGTCTCTGCGAGTCAGAATGGGTGAGGTGCTGCTTGACCCAGAACTATGTCCTTCTACGGGAACTGGCCCTGCCTGGCCACAAGCCTAAAGTACATGAGAGGAAGTCTCGCCATCCCCGACTTGAAGGAGCCTCCTGGCTGGACTTCACCCAAAACACCCTGGCCCGTTCTTCTGGTGGTCCGTGGTGTGTCCGCATCCCTCACCAGCCCTGTAGTCCACGCTCATCAACTCCTCCTCGGTCCCTGCCCCGTCACAGTCAGTCTGCGGCACCCCACCCCGGCTAAGGAATCGGTTCTTCACTGGTCTTCCTCCCTCACTGATAGACAGGGGTCTTTGTGGCTCCATACTGGTCGAATCTTGGGGTTACACTATTCAGCCTTCCTGGCATGACATGGCGAGCTCCCCCTTCCCTATACTCAGCCGCCTGGCCAGGCTCGGTCACGTAGAAACGACACCTCACTGACTGGCACTGCCTATCCTGGTGTGTCGAGCAAGCCAGAAATCCACCCCTGCTGCTGAGTCGGCCCCTACCCATGGAGCCCCTGTAGGACAGGGTCAGCCTGCTCCCTGGGATTCCTTCACTGGAACTGTGGGGCAGACTGCTAGGCCTTTCTGCCACAGAGCCATTGGGTAGGCTCAAACTACCCCCCTTCAGCTCAGTAGGGGGCCGCAGACCACGTGAGTCACCCCGACCCCTCCAGGTGTCAATCCTCTCCCTGCCCACTCACGGTACGTCTCTGGCCACGCTGGACTCCCCATCTCTTCCAGAGTCCGTTTTGTTACCGTCTGACATTTGCCAAAAGCGGTGCCAAAGATTTGCTCAGGAAGTTGGCCCTCGCCCTGCCGATGCCGATATATATGCTGTCGTTCTGTGGGAAGGTGCCCCCCTGCGCCATCCTCACAGCTGCTCTGATATTTGAGCCCATGGTGGCAGCCACTGTGTCCACCCGTCTTGTTGAGAGCCTTCCTCTTTGTCGCTGCCCGTCCACTATACCAACTCTGATGTCCTCCTCCAGGGACTGGTCTCTCCTGACCACGCGTCCAACACCAGCAGTCCTTTTGTCGGCCTTTCCCGAGACCCCACGTTGAAGCCCCCCCTCTGGGCCCCTTTCTCATCTTAGCTCTGTCCCCACAGATGCCCCCGTCCTCGGCGCCCGTTGCTGTCTTTTTTCCAATTCTTCGACGGGCTTAGTGCTCGCATGTGATAGTAGACGCATTTGGTGCGCCCACCTTGCCGCCCTGCTCGGGTGCTTTGGACTCTGGAACCCTTTCCCTGCCAGTAATTTCCTCCCAGCGCGCGGCTTTTATTTCTTCTAGGGGTGACTGAAAAGCCCCCTTACATGCGAGGGGGCTTTGGAAGGTTCGTGGGAAAGTGGAATGCAGAGATCATGGAATTTGAAGCCCCTGTGCCCTTGCCCAGTCTTCCTGGAGAGGGGGGCTGTCCATCCGGAGGCTTCTCCTCTGGCCACCCTCCAATGGCCTCTGTTTCTTCTCCTGGTTTGTCTGCTGTTGGAGCTCCTGGTTTGGTCTCCTCTGTTGGGGGGTGTCTGCGGGGTGGGATGGGGTGGGGTGGGGTGAGAGGGACAAACTGGTTGTGAAATTTACAAGGCAGCATAGATGGCTGTGGTTTGCTGACCAAAACTTGAAGGGCAGTGAAACTTACTGCCTCGGGGCCCAGACAAGCAGGAGGTGTTGGCACACGGGTGGACAAGAGACCCGAGGGTCAGGCGCGGTCCAGGGGGGCCTCACTTTATGAGGGGCTCCTTGCTTCAGAGGGCCTTCAGGGGCAAGTTCTGTCCAGCGCCTGACCAGAAGGCCCCTTCTCAGCAATTAGCTGTGGGTCACCGTGGCCTCACCAGTCACTGAACATGGGGGCAGCCCAGAGTGGGGGAGGGTCCACTGTGAGCTGTTGGGCTCTCATTGGCTGGTTTCCTTCAGGCGGTCTCCAGCCTGGCCATTGTCTCTGGAAGGCCCACCGAAGTCCGTGCTGCACCCTCAGGTCTCTGGGGACAGGCAGACAGGAGTCTGGGAGCCAAAAGCGGGCCTCCCACATGGAAGATGGGGGGTCTTCCACGGAGTCACTCCTGCCCCTGCTCCAGGGCACGCCCACCTCCACACAGGGGACCTCGTGGGCCTCAACGCGCAGCCCCACCCATCCTTGGTTGGATGCAGACAAGGCCCCCTGGGGTTGCACCATACCCTGGCCCTTGATTGAGCAAGCTGGCCCAGGACTGGTCAGAGACGCAGGCGCAAGCCCAGGGCTTCCCCTGTACAGACTTTCCCAGGAAGGGGGCAACTGGCGCCCCCCCAAGCCTGGCACAGAAGGGGAGCGAGGCTTTGTTTGCCCCCCATACCTCACCACACACACCCACACACACACAGCTCCGGGCAGGGAGCTGGCCAGCCCTGGAAGGGGCACTTCACTTCCAAGGCAGGCCGGGCGTGAATAAGGGGCACGCCATTCAATTACCACGGTTCATGTGGGTTCCTTAAAGCTGAGTCATTACGAGAGGAGCAGAATATTTCGAATCATGGGTTTGGGGCCTCTTGAAATGACCGTGAAATATTTAAGCCATATTTGAAGAAAATCTCTGCTTCTTTTTTTGTCTTGTTTTGTTTTAATGAGAAAACGTGTACACTCAGAAAGAGGTCATTTTTGAATTTTCAAGGACCAGTACAGCACAGCGATGTGCCACCAGCCTCGACCTCCCCGCTGTGCACCCCACCCCCGCCCTGTCCCCACCCCCCCAGGCAGCAAGACCTTCCCTCTCTGTGGCACTGGGCAGGGGAGGGTCCAGCCTGTGGGAACGGAGCAGGAGCCAGGACACACGGAAGGCAGGAAGGCCAGTGTGCGTGGTGATGACGGACAGCCGGTCTGGCCTGGCTTGTCCTAGGGTGGGACACTGGGCCCTCCACAGTCCTGTCCTAAATAAGCCCCCACCCCCCCGCTTGGCCCCACATCTGAGCTCCCCCTCCCTCCTGAAGCCCCCTCCTCCTGGCTTCTACCCCTAGGCTGCTCTCTCCACCTCTCTGCTGGGCCCAGGCGTCTGTCCCTCCAGTCCCCTCCCAGCAGCTCACCATCCCCACCAGAGCGTGCAGCTGTGGTGGCCCTGCCCAGGCAGCCCCTGGAGGCCCAAGGCTGAGTCCCTGCCCAAACATCCTCCCAGTCTCCACCCACCACAGGAAGCGGGCCCTGGGATGACCCAGGCGGCCAGTCCCTCCTCCTCCGCACACAGCCCAGCCCACCTCCACCTCATGGCATTGCCATCCGCGGTCCAGTGGACACCTGTGGACATGGACCCCTGCCCGCTCCAAGTCCCCAAGACTTTTCAGCGTCCACAGCCAGCCAGAGGGACGCCCTGGACGCCTGTCGTCCCCCCCCAGGCTGTGCCCGGGAGGCTGGGCTTGCAGAAGTCAGGCTCCAGGACTTTCTTCTGAGGTGCCTGTTGGTAACCACACACCTGCCCCACCTGCTGCTCTCCTCCCCTCTGCCCCCACCAGGAGGACCTGCAGGGCCCGTCACTGTGTCCACCCCAGCCCTGCGACCTGCAGGATGGGTGAGGTAGGTGCGCAGTGACACCGTGCCTCCAGAGTTAACAGAGGGGCCCTGCCTCCCTCCCAGGAGCAGCTAGACGCCCTGCGCCGGACACTGGCGGAGAGCAGGGCCCACAGCCAGGAACTAGCCGCCACCGGGAGGCGGCTGGAGGGGCAGCTGGCAGGCGTGGGGCGCAGGTGCCAGGAGGCTGAGGGCGCGCTGGAGCCCCTGAGGCAGGTGAGGCCCCCGCGCGGACCCCGCCCCCAGGTGCACCCCCACCGCCCAGGGGGCTTCGTACCCCAGACCCACGCGCCCTTCTCTCCCAGGTACTACGGCAGCCCCAGCGCAGGGAGCAGGAGGTGGCAGAGCACCGCGCCCTGCGGGAGCAGACTGCGATACTGCGTGCAGAGAGGGCCCGCCTGCGCGGGGAGCTGGCAGGGTTACGGGCGCGCCTGGAGCAGGTACGGCTGAAGCCGAGAAGGCCCCCGCGGGTTGGCGGAACGGGAAGAATTCCCATGAAGGGGCCAGAGAGGGGATGCGGGACGGAGGGGGTGGGCGTCAAGTGGGGTCGGTTGGGGCAGGAGGGGTCCTGGGTGCTAGGGGGAGGGTCCTTTAAGAGGAAAAGGAGCATCCCCGACGGGGTGGGCTGGGAGGAGGGAGCTGCTGGGGAGTCTGGGCCACCTAGGAAGAAGGGCCTGGTTCCCAAAGGGGCGGGGCTTCTCTGTGCCCACCATGCAGACAGCACCTGCTCTGGCTCCAGGCTCCTGAGGAAGCCCCCTCTCCCCATAGCTGGATGCTGAGAGACCTCTACACACACACACCCACGCCAAGTCAACTCCATGGGCTGTCCCTACCTTCAGAAACAGACCTGGGTCCCGCCAGGTTAGGGGCTCATCACTCCCCCAGATGACTCTTAGGATCCACTCAGGGACAAGTGGGCCTGACCTGAGAGGATGTG